TTACATTTAAAGGATAGATATGAATAATTTGCATTGGTATGGATTTTAAGGTCAATTTTGTTATATGTATATGTATTTTTGATCTTGATTAAGGTATTGTGATTGTATAGTTCATTTAAAATATAATGTATAATTAGGAAATATAGGTTGTTAATGGATAATCATTGATAATAATAAAACTTGTAGTCATGTGAGTTAGATTTTCTAGATATATAGAGATATATTTCAATTAGATAGGCATTCTTCATATCTTTCAAAGACTGCAGAATATGGCATTTAAAATATTTTAATAACTTAGGACTTTTCATGACAAGGAGACACATCTGCTCCTGGCAGCACCAATCTACTTCAAGAGGAAGATGGGGCCGGGCGGTGGTGGCGCATGCCTTTAATCCCAGCACTCAGGAGGCAGAAGCAGGCAGATCTCTGTGAGTTCGAGACCAGCCTGGTCTACAGAGCTAGTTCCAGGACAGGCTCCAAAGCCACAGAGAAACCCTGTCTCGAAAGAAAAAAAAAAAAAAAAACCAAGAGGAAGATGGGCATCGAAGAGGATCCTTATGGAGTTGGATAGTCATTTGGGCAAGAAACTGCTCTTGCCTGGACTGTTGCATAAACTGAACACAGAGAACCCTCAGAGAGAGGACTGCTGAACTTGCCTAAAGGTGAGATGGTCTTTCGGGGTTCCTGCTTCATGAAAGAATCTGCGAGACATTCTGCAGGACACAGCAGAAAATGACTGAACTGTCTTTGAAATTTCCTGCTTCATGGAAATGTCTCTGGATACTATGGGCCTGAAGGCTGAAGATGGATACCCCAACGGTACAGGTACAGAGGAACTTTGGGTGACTGTCCAGGCAGCGAAATGTCTCTGTCATTTCTAGAGTTTTCTTATTTCTTGTTTACTTAAGTAGTATTATATATCCTTCCGGAGTCTTTGATGGAGTTAAATAATAAATAGATAGTTATAGTTTTCCTTAGTTATGATAAGAGATAAAATAGATATAAATATTGTAACTATAATTCTTGCTTGATAACTGTTTTGTTATATGTAATTTTACTATGTTAAAGTTAAAGCCTTCTCTTTTTTTTTTAAACAGAAAAAGGGGAAATCTGTTGAAATAGGAGCGGCAGGGCTGCGTCCCCGGCACCCGGCCGCCCGCATGGCTAGCTTATGCCCTGAAATAATTACACGGAAACTGTATTCTTTCAAACACTGCCTGGCCCGGCTAGTTCCAGCTTCTTATTGGCTAGCTCTTACATATTGTTCTAACCCATTTCTAATATTCTGTGTAGCCCACGAGCTGGCTTACCAGGGAGGATCTTAACCTGCATCTGTCTGGCGTGGGAGCATCATGGCGACTCTCTGATTCAGCTTCTTTTTCCCAGCATTCTCCTCTTTACTCCACCTACCTAATTTTCTGTCCTATGAGGGCTGAGGCAGTTTCTTTATTATTAACCAATGAAAGCAACAGATAAGATACAAGACCCACCTCCATCACAAGATGACTCAGTGGGTAAAGTCTCCTGCCACCAAAACTAACAATGGAGTTTGTGCCAGATTTTTTCTTTTGGGCCACCAACCAGCTCCCAAATAATGACACAGAGACTTACTATTACTTATGAAAGCTCTGTCTAATCTAGGCTCATTTCTGGCTAGTTCTTTTAACTGACTTTATTCTGCCTCTCTTTATCTATCCTTTGCCTCAAGGTTTTTTTTTCTTTTTCTTTTTCTTTTTTTTTTTTTTTACTTCTTTTCCCTGTATATCTTTCTTTCAACTGCTTCTCACTGTCTGGCTGGATGTGGCTGCCTGACTTCTTGGCCCAAGCCTGTCCCTTGTCTTCTTCTCCTTCCTTCTTCTTGAGCCCAGAGTTCTCCTATTTATTCTTTCCTCCTAGAAGTCCCGCCTATCCTTTTCCTGCCTAGCTATTGGTCATTCAGTTTTTTATTAAACCAATCAGGTGCCTTAGGCAGGAAGGTGAAACAAATGTAACACATCTTTACATAATGAAACAGATATCATTACATTGTTAAACAAATGCAGCATAAACAAAAGCAACACACCTTTATACATTCAGCAGCACAAACAAATGTAACACATCTTTGCCCAGTTAAAATGTTTCACAACACAAGTTGGAACCCCAGAACTTACATGGTAGAAAGACAGAACTGACTCTTCCAATTGCTCTGACTTACATACACGCACCCTTGCATGGCATACCACATGTGTATATGCACACATACACAAAATAAAATAGATAAAAAATTTAAAAGGGAGCGAGCTAGCTAAGGGACTTTGATGCCTCTAGCACTGGGAGTGGGTGGAAGCCTGGCCGTGAGAGACTGTGAAGGGATTTCGGGGATGTGGTGGTATTTGGTCTCCATGTGCTGGTTAAAGATATGTTTGGGAGAAACCCTGATATTAAACGTTTAAGACCTGTATACTTTTCTATGTGCAGGTTTGATAGGAGGACACATAAAATTTAGAGCCTGGGGCAGTGAGAGACAAAACAGAAGCCTGTAGCACGCAGAGGAGTGCTAACACCTCCCTACAGGGGCATGTGCATTCTCAGGAGCTCCCTTAGGTTAGGAGGGATGCTCGGTAGTGTGTGGACAGCATCATTCCATGGGCTGTGGAGGTGAGCTGAGCCCCAGCACCCACGAGGCTCGGCTTCCGGACGGCAGGCCCAATGTTATCAACTCCCTTCTGCCCCTGCTCAGGCCTCCCTCCCCTCCCCCATGGGCTGTATCCTCCGTCTGTGAGCCAATAGGACCCTTCCCTCCTTCCTTAAGTTGCTTTTCATCAGGTATTGTGCCTTGGCCATGAGAAAGCCAACAGAGTCATGTAAGAGATGACCTTAAAGCCAGTTTGCTAATTCCAGCTGTAAACCTGGGGAGGGGGATAAAGGGGCCAAAGAAAAATCTTGCTGCCTCTGACTGATAACTGTGTGGTCCTCATTCACTAAACAAGGTCTGGAAAGAAGAAAGGAATGCCCTGGATTTCATATGATTTCTTAGTGAGGGTGACTACTCCAGACACTGGCTACCCTGGTTTAGACTCTGCATCCTGTCTCAGAGCTCCAGATGTGTGTTCCTGGTGAAATCTCCACTGGGTATAGATTTTCATTTCTCCTTACACACACACACACACACACACACACACACACACACACGGTTTAAACCTAGTGTATTGAGTCACTGTGTATCCCACCTCTCCTGGCAACATCTGGCCCAGCACTGAGGAGAAAGGATAAAACTGCCTGGGATTAGGAGTAAGGGAATCTCCCCTCTCATCCCCAGGACCTTTAGTGTCAGCCTCTCTCCATTCTCCAAGTCCGTTTGGAAGTCTGAATCTGAAAGCTTGGTGGTTAAAGATCTCAGGAAGGGAAGGACCTTCGGGTCAGTGCTTTTGCCTCCTGCTTGATGGGTGTGGGCTTCAGCTCTGGAAGGTGGGTCCCACAGTGGGATCTGCTACGGGGACGTTGGATGCAGTTCTCACTCTGACCACTAGTGGGAGCTGCTGACCAACCTCAGACCCGGCTGGAGCTACCGGCAGGCGATGGCAGATTGATCTGTGGTCCAGCAGTCAGACCCTCCTGACACCCCAACCCCCTTCAGAGCCAGAGTCCTATGTCCTGAACATCACTTTCTTATATATCCTCCAGAAACTTTTGGAGACACCACTGGCCCACAGCCACCTCAAAATTCCTATAAAGAAGTTGCTAGACAAGGTATGATGGCACAAGCCTTTAATCTCCACACTTGGGAGGCTAAGATAGGCAAATCACTGTGAGTTCGAGACCAGCTTGGTCCCTATTGCAAATTCCAAGCAAGCCAGAGATACCTAATGAGACCCTGTCTCAAAACAAAACAAACAAGCGATGGTCCCAGCTTGCCTCTGGTGTGTATGCGTGTGTGCACCTCTGTACTCCTGTGACAGCCCTGGACGGTGCCGCTGCAAAGGGAGAGGGGCACTGCCCTTTGCAATGGTCTATGGTAGTGACCTGTTCCTTGTGGGTCCGACTGGCTGTACAAGCAAGTGTGTGACTCTGTACCAACATGTGCACAGCTGTCTGTCTGGATGTATGTGTGCACATGACAGTATCCTTGTGGGACAGTCGCTGCTTGTGTCAACATGGAACTTGGTATCCCTGTGTGTGTCAAGAAGGCTGAAAACGGTTCAAGAGGGTGTGTGGGAGGCGTCCGTGGGAGTCCTACTGTTTGGTGATTGTGTATTTGATACTGGGGCTATCTGTGTATTTTGTTTCTGACCGCACCTGTGTGTCAGCGTGTCCACACAGATACCTACACGTTTCTGTACTGTCATTGTGTCTCTAGAAATGTGGTTCTAAGTGTCCCCATGCCAATGTGTAAGTGGATGTGTGTCTCCAAGTCACGAGGGTGTCATTAAGTTTATCAGTATGTGTTCCTCAACCCCAACATGTGTTAATGGTGTCTATGTCCATGTGCATAACTGTGCGTAGGCATCTGTATCTGTGTGCATGTATGTCAATATAGGTGTGTGTGTTACTGTCTCAGCATGGGTGTCAGGTCATGCCCGTATCCACGTGGATAAATGGGATGTCTGGGGTAGGGTCCCCAAGGCAGCGAGGAGGGGCGTGTCTGTGTACTCTGGCTTGGGCGGCGTGTGTGCCAATGTTTGTCGGCGTGCGCCTGTCCAGGTCTGCGTGGGTGGCTCTCTGTGGCGAAGCGTCCGCAGGTCGGTGTGCGTCCGCATGTCTGTCTGTCCGCGTCTGCGTGGGCGGCCGTCTCCGACAGGGCGCGCCCGGGATCAGGGGCGGTGGGCGTGCGCCCCGCCGGGGCTGGGTGGCTCTCCCCGCTAGCCGGGCGGGCGCAGCGCCACGTGCGGAGCCCCGGACGCGTCGCTCTGGGGCGGAGCCAGCCCGGGGCCCCGGAGCCCCAGGCCGAGCCCAGGCGGGGCCCGCCCCCGACCCCGCCCCCAGCCCGAGCCCGCGCCGCCCGCCGAGCCCGGGAGCCCGAAGCGAGCGGCCGGAGCCGAGACGGCGGCAGCGCCCGTGGGATGCGGGGATCGCGCCCCCGGGGCCGCTGAGCCTGCGCCCGCTGCCCCGAGCCCTGCGCCGAGCCGAGTCCGCGTCGCGCTGCAGCCGCCCACCCCGGGGCGCGGGCCGGGGACCAGCAGGTGAGCGAGCGCCCCCCGTGTCCCGCAGCCCCCCGCGCCTCTGTGTCCGCCGCCGCCCAACTTTCCTCCCCGATGGCCCGGAGCCGCTCGACCGGGTCCCCAGCACCCGGCAGCCGCTGTCCCAGAGGGGGGAGGGGCGGGAGAGGCGCAGGTGGCCCGGGCCGGGGGTTCCCTGGGGCGTTCCTGTTCGCCGCGGGTCTCCTCCCGTCCCCTCTCCTTCCGGGTTTCCCGTGCGCTGTCGAGGGCCGGGGGATGGGGAGCTTCGGTCCCGACTCCCGAGCCATCGCTGGCGCAGGCTGGCCGAGGGGCAGGGATTGGGACCCGGATTCCCGAGGCCGGAGACCCCAAGGTCAGAGCAGCCACAAGGCGCGCAGAGAATGTGCCTCTCGAGAGCTGGGGGTGAAAGGGCTGAGCGGACGCCGACCAGGACTAGGAAGCAGGCCAAGCGCTCGTTTTCCCTGGGCCCGGGAGCGTGGGGGGACCCGGCACCCGGGCTATGCCCTGGATTAGACGAAATCTCTGCACCCCAGGAAGGGATTTGTGCGCGCTATCGGGGGTCAGATCTACGAGTGTGCCCTGCTTCTGGGCGCTCCCACAATGCCGAGATCTCAGTGCCCTGTTGTCGCCTTGAAACAGTCGCATCTCCTCCTGTATCTGTGGGCTCTGAGAGGGGACAGATGTCTGGACATGGAAATTCGGGAGAATTCTTCGTTCTCCTTGCTTTGACCTGGACAGACTCGCTCAACCTAACGGGAGAAAGAGGCAGCTCCGTACCTCTATGTTATTTGACCGTCTTTGGAGGCGCCCTGCGAGGAAGTGGAGGTGCCTAGCCTTGTCTGAGTATTGATGGGGACAGCGATGTCGTGGGGACTGGTGGCGGTGGTGCTTATGGTGCGGGAAATGCTAGGGACGAGGCCCTGGCTGGAGGCAGGCCTTCCAAACACCTGTTGGAGGGCAGCATACAACCACAAACCACGGAACTCACTCTGTCTCCTTGGCGACTTCAGTCTCCTTGGGCCATGGGACCAGAGTGGCCTTGGGGTCCTGAGCTGCCTCTTACAGCAGTGACTCCAAGCACCATGCAGAGAAGCACAGAACAGGAGCCCCCACGAACCCCAGACCTTCTGTAGACTCACCATCATTCAGAACTGAGGCCTGGGCCACACGGAGCCCAGCCCCTCTGTCCTCCCCTCAACTCCCTAACCTGTCCCTGTCCCCTCCCGTTAGAAAATTGGGCAGATGCACATAAATACGGTCACACGAGGGAAGATGAGATGAAGGCGGGACAGGCTGCTACCTCAGAAGCAAGGGAAATTAAGGGGCAGCTGGAACATGGGACACCATTTCTTTGCTAGAACGCCTAAGGTTCTGAAAAGAGCCTCGGCTAGCTTTCCACCTCACCAACCCCTCTCCACCGCAAGTACTAAGAGCCAGGGAGGTCAAGGACTAATCCAAGGTCACACAGAATCGTTGGACTGGGGCGGACACTCAGGGTAACAGGCCTTGGACTCTATTTCCTGGTGGCTGCTTTGGCCTAGAATTGACCAGAGAGGGTCTAAATAGACAGAGGAGTGGCCCTGTATTCCCGGCATTTGGGAGGCAGAGACAGGAAGATCTCTGTGTGTTCGAGGCCAGCCTGGTCTATAAAGTGAGTTCCAGGACAGCCATGGTTGTTATACAAGAAAATCCTGTCTTGAAAAAAGCAAACAAAACAAAGACAGCAAAGAAAGAAAGAAGAGCGGCCCTCGGGTGCTAAGAAGCTATCTTCAAAGCCCGAGGTGCCATGGGCAGCTGTCCTCTAGACTGCCCAGTCCCTGTATATGGAGGTGACCACAACACCCCTGGATGGATTCCACAGTTGACTCACTTGGCATAGAGGGAGACAGAGACAGCTGGGAATGGGGGATAAGGGGAGGCTGGTGCCCAGGCAGTCCACCCAGAAGAGAATCCTAGGGGCAACCTGGAGCAGTGTCTTCTTCCCACGAGGTTCATTCCCGTGATCCCTTGAGGGGGCTTTTGAAGGAGGGCACAGTGATACCAGTGTCACACCAGGAACACAAAAGAGGTCAGGATTTTAGTTGAGAGTCAAAAGTCCTATTCTAGCAGAGATAACTTTCACCTGGGTTTTGACGCATGAACAGGAGTTTTCCAGGTCGTTGACTAACCAATGCAAACACGGGGACAGAGCAGCCATTAGTTGAGTGATCTGTTGGGTCCCGTGACATGAGGAAGAGCCCAGGTCACAGTCACAGACCGATGGGGGTGTTGGCAACCTCTGCTCAGGAACTGGGAATTTATCCTCAGTAATGATTCTAAAAATGGTGAACAGGCCCTGAGTGCTTTGTGTAGACTAGACCATGGCAGGTACTCGTGGGGTGCATCTCCCAGTTATCCCCACATCAGTCCCCAAGATGGGGACCACGGCAGGTACTCATGGGGTGCATCTCCCAGTTATCCCCACATCAGCCCTTGAGGTGGGGACCACAGTCACAGCCGTGTTGTAGACAGTGAAGGGATCAGCAGCTGGTCAGTGACCTCTGTGCCACCTCCCCAGTGTGGACCAGGCCTGTGCCACCTCCCCAATGGAGACGGGGCCTGTGCCGCCTCCCCAGTGTGGACGGGGCCTGTGCAAACTTAGAAAGTCCTTCAGCTGAGGAAGTGTCTGCAGGCAGGCCACTGGTGACACTCTGGTGTCCTTCAGGGTACCCAGAGGTACCCACCCCTTATACTGTATGCATGGTGGGGGACATAGGTGGACAATAGTCACCTGAGCAATACCACGTCATCTGGGCATTAGAGAAGAAGATCTAAGAAGGAAGCTTCCAGAAGGCGACCTGGGCTGGAGGTAGGCACTCCAGAAAGGCAGCTGGACCCTGGAGCCAGGGCTGCCTGGCCGGCCACCAGAGCAGCACTTCGAAAGCTTTACATAAAGACGTCCGCTCTGAAGCTCCGCCCCCAGGCATGCTAATTCTCTTGGTTCTGGGGTGGAGCAGGCCGCCTGCCCGTCCTTCTGAAAACAGGTGATTCTGATGACATTAGAGAGAGGCTGGAGCCAGATGCCCAGAGACACCAGACAGCCCAAGCAGGAGGGAGGCCAGGAGAGTAGCTGGCACTGACCCGAGGCAGAAAGGGCCGCTCTCCCAGGAGAGGGAAATCCCCCATTTCTGCTGAGAGAATTTTAGAAGGTACCTTTGGCACCGTTCATGGACAGATGAGCAAGGCTGAATAATTTAGAAAGAATGCCCATTAGATTGAGCCGCAGCAAGGGTGCCGGTGACCTCTGCAAGAGAAACAGCACTCTGAGCCCACGGCCGTGGTGCCCTGCGTGGTGGATTCTGCTGAAGGAACGGGTCGGGGGTGCAAGCTGGTCTGGAGTGGGTTAAGGAGTGAGCAGGAGGGGATGATGTGGGAGCATGGGCAGACAGCACTTCCAAGGGTCTGATGGTTGGAGGGGTAGGAGAGGGACAGGGGACCGCATGAGAGGTGGGGTCCGGTTTGGCTTTAGGCTAGGCAGTCCTGTGGTGCATGCCTGAGAAAGGGCTTATAGGGAACATCTCAAGTAAAGGACCAGAAGCCTCTGGGTCAGAACTGCAACTGTGAGGCCCACACGTCACAGTTTGCTCACTGAGCCGGTTGGAGAGGCTCCTGCAAGCCTCTACGAGGAAGATGATGGTGGGAACCGATTCCTGTCTCAGCATGGAGAGTGGGTCCTTTCTCTAGGGAGGAAAGCTGTCTTGGGAGACAGGTGTCCATGGTGACAGAATTTGAAGAAGAGGGGCTGCAACCAAAGCCCCATGGCTAAACTACAGGGAGGCAGGGAGAGAGGAGAGGGCACAGACGGAGACTGGACATTTGGGGGTGCAGCAGGGCAGCTGTAGGAATGGCTTAGGTCCGATGGCCAGGCTTGTCTCATACAGAGTTCAGAGGCAGGTGTGTCAAACCTGGAGGGTGGGGACATTCAGCATCTGTTTTGGGCCGTGGCGGGTTCTAGGAATCTAAGACAGGCGTTATCCCTGCCCTGTGAAGTCTGAGTAGTAACGGGGACAGGGACTATGTCATGAAACACAAAGTATCGTTTTAGGTAGTGGCAAGTGCCATAGAAGGATTTCTGGCGAGAGATGGTGAGTCGGTATAGCCTTGCTGGCCAGACACCGTCTGAACGAGGCAACCGATCTAGGACCTGATTAACAGGACAGATGTGGGGAGAGCGTATGGAAGAGGGAGCTGCCTGTGCAAAGGCCCTGGGGTAGGAGCTCCACGAATGCACACTGTGCCTGGAGCAGAGGGAACGGACGGGGATGGAAAGACACCGAGCCTCTGTTCTAACCCCACCCCCTCAGTGGACTGCCCCTTCTCTGCGCCTACACCACACTCCTTGGGCTGGTGCTGGCAGCAGTTCCTGGGAATGAAGCTATTTTTAGATATGGCTCTCCTCTCCTGTGGGCCTAGAACATACCGTGTCTTTTGAAGATGATCAATACGTGCTGGCACTATTTATAGAGGACCCCATGTCAAGTCCTGGGGCCTGGGACCCCCAGACTTTCCGGGGACAGGCATCACAGACATAGGCTCTTTGACCTGCTCCTCAGTTTCTTTCTACTCTCAAGGGATAGACAGAGGCACTGAGGAGCCTGGAGCCTCCCAACATCACCTCCAGGGCCAGAAACACCTGCCCAGAACAAGCAGAAGGCAAACTTGGAATGGAGGTCCAGCCTCCCCTCTCCAGGGCTGATCAAGAGGAAGCCTGCCTAGAGGGGATGGGCCTGGAGCCTAGTGCTGGAGACTGCAGGGGAGGGCTGGGCTTGGGTCTGCTGCCTGTGGTGGGTCAGAGTAGTAGGTAGGCAGAGAGTGTTTATGTTCTAGGCTGAGTCCTTTCTCTCCTCTTCAGTGCCTTCTCTTTAAATCTCCCAGGAAGGCAGTGGAAAGTGGAGTCCTCCCAGGGGCATTTGCTGATGCCAGGGATGGAGCCTTTCTTACAATGTCTGTGTGGCCCTGGGTTG